AAATCTTTCATTCCTTTAGAGACAGCATGAAAAGTCAGCTGAGTACAAAACATAGAGAGGAAAACAAGAAGAAAAGGGACAAGAAGAGAGGGACACAACCTAGAACAGATAATGGATGTCTATTCTATTAACATTTCTATATCTGGAGAATGGGGCTGTTCCATTTCTTCTCCATTTAGAGGGGCCCCCTGCCCGTTTTTCCCTAGGGCACCAGATTTCCTATATCCGCCTCTGTCTCCTAGTGACAATAGTGACAATGTGAAGCACACTTCATTAGAACTGATCTGATAGCATAAAGTGGGCTGAATAAACAGGATATATTTTTCATGATTTTATTTTGGCCCTTCTCTTCTCTTTGGTAAATGTTTGTAGAGTCTTCAGATGGAGATTCCAGTATAGGACGGCTGCTTAGAAGACTGAGGCCGTCAGGATGCGGGTCGGACTCTCAAGTCCTTCAGTAAAGTCCAGAACCTTCTTGACTTTTTTTGAGAAATTCAAAAACAAATGGGAAAAATCGATCTGCCTGAAACAAGTTTCTGCTCAATTTATGAGGTTCTGGACTCAGAAACGGACGGAGAGAAACAGAGAGGATGGTTATCCACACATGGAAACATGGAGAACCCTCCCAGGAAAGAGGATTCATCAGCAGCTTCTTCAGGTGAACAATCAGAACATTTAACCCTTTAAGCTCGGCGCGCCCGCTACCGGGCCCAGCTGATGTTCATCTACTTATAGAAATGGCCAGTCACCTGGTGTTTCATCCACACGCCTTTCAAATGGGGCTTTAAAATTTCTAAAACATGTTTCAAAATTATTTTTCCACGAATACTTTTTTGTTTTATGGCTTTGTAAGCAACTAAAATGGGTTTAAAATTCCACCTGACTCTGCAGGAGTAACGCAACAGCAGCTATTCATTTTTAGCCACATCCCCCCAATGTCTGGCATCATTAGAAACTAGAGGCTCAGATCTTTCCAACGAGGGATGGGAGGTAATGTGCGACCATTTGATGTAACCGACATGTGTTAAATAAAGTTGCTCTGTTATTGTTATTTTCTCTT